CCTTCAGCCTTGTGTTCGATGACGAGCTCGGGGCGAAGCCCTTCCAGGACCTGATCGCCACCAACCACGATTGCACGAATCCGGCTTGACCCCGGGACGAGCACCCCCCCCACACACCAGATCAAGAGCCGAAGCGACATGCCGTTCGACCTCCGCGCTCGTCAGCCGCCGGGATCCACATCTCTGCGAACCTCAGGAACATATTGTACGCGGCCAACTCTGACATACAAGCGACCAGATTTGGCTACCTGGGCATGGTTAACTCGCACGGCGGCGCTGACTGTGGAACTGCACCCTGCGCCCAAGGCCGTCTTGGCGTCTACCGCATCGGCCGCGACGACTGCGAACAACCCAGCCGAGCATGCTATGAGTCTGCAAGAGCAGGCCGCGGATCGCATGCATGAGCAGTCACACTCCCGAGCTTCCTCGGACACTCGCGGCGCGCCCCCCCCCCCCCCCGGATATTTTCGTGGAGATGGGGGCCAACAGCATGCCGTGATCGCCCCTTTCATCTCAGTCGATGGTATATTGGAATGGGCGCGGCTTCCTCGGCGCGGCGAAGGCTGCGAAGTATGCGGCGGCGTCCGCGCCTCGGGGTAAGTTCATCCACTTCTGTCAAAGTTATTCAGTCGCGCGTGCTCAGGAAGCCCGCGGTCGGGCAGCAGTTTTTTTTTCATGTCCAGCATGGCCACCGCGGATATAACATGGGTCTTTTTTTTTTTTTTTGATGATGATGCGCGCACTCGTGGTGTAGCCGTTGCTACGTCGTCGCCGCTAGCTGCGCTTGCCGGGTCGATCGAGCACATGCCTGCGATTGTTGGCAGAGTTCCCGTTTCTTTATGCAAGGGTAGACATGGCGCGCTTGCGACTGCGGGCGCGCACCGCCCCCCCTTGGCCCCGCCCCCCCCCCACCCCCCCCCCCCGCCCCCCCCCCTGCCCCCCCCCCCCCCCCCCTCCCCCCCCACGCGCGCGCACGCGCGCGCGCCCCCGACGCACCCGCCCCAACGTCCGTGACCCGCTCGCGGTCTGCTCCGCTTATGCTTCTCGCATCCTGGAGGTCTCGCCCGACGCCGCTGCAAGATTCAATGTGATTTCTGAACGTTTGGATTTTGTTTCGGAGGAGGGGGGTAGATCAGCGGCCGATGGCGACGGCGTTCGACCAGGCGATCGAACCCACCGGGACATATCCCAAACCCGAAGTGGCCACTGGTGTGCATTGTGCCAGGACTCAGGGACTCGTCGCGAGATTCGAGGTAGCGCGATATTCCTTGGCTTCCAGATTCGACCGCATGTGTCCTGAGATCCTTCTGCTCTCTTGGCTGATCGCACTGCTCGCGCGTCAGTTGCGGGGCGCGTGCAGATTCGACAGCGCCCCAGCCACGCCGCTGTCCTGACGGCGATCCAGAGATGCGCCCGAACTGCCCCCGCCCAGCAGCTTGCGCCACTGCGGATTGCCCGCGGCGGCTTGCGCCGGCAGATGTCATCGCAAGTTTCGTCGGCAATGCCCAGGGGCATGGCGCTGACTGTGCTCTTGGAGGTCCTTCCCGCGCGAAGCAGACCATGCGCGCCGCATGGAGGCGTGCTGAGAAAGCGAGATTGCCTCATTGCTGCTACTTTGAGAAGTCCAAGTGCGATGGGGGTTCGGAGAAGGCGGCTCTGGGGAAGTTGCAGAGGAAACAGGGCATCTGGAAGCGTTATCGGAAGCGCACCCGGCCCTCGGGCATTGCCGACCCTGGTGCCCCACGCACATCGCAAGATGTCTCTGCATCGGCTTCGGAACAATATTTTGAATCTGTCTTCGAGTGGGTAGCACGCTCGCGAGATTCCGTGCGCGTCGGGTTCATTTTGCAAGCTTGCCTACGCGGGTTCTTTTGAAGCCATTAGGCCTCGCACCTCCTCGACGTCGCGGGAAGATGGGTTGCGCGATCTGCGTTGGATTGCCGGCGATGTCCCCAGCATTTCACACGACGTTTGCACGGGTACTGCGAGGGAAAGATGGAGCCGTGAACGACCTGCTTCTTGACGCGCGCAGGCTACTAATGGTGTCATTGCCGAAAGGTGCCAAGCATGACGATGAATGCCCCATGTTTATTCGCGGTTGCCCTGAGACCCGCCCGTCGTCGATGAGGGAGCGGAGCGTCCCTGTCCAGCGCCATCTGTCTGCGTCTGTCTTTGATGTCACAGCCGACGGCCGAGCGTTCTCAGTCTTGCCCCTCTGGGGGAAGCATGCTGGACCAAGCGGTCACAGCTGAATCCGAGGGGTTCAGCGGCATCTTCTGGGGCGCGACTCTTCGGGGAAGCTTCTGAGGGACTTCATGTCCGCTTGTCCGTCGTTTCTGATCCCGTTCATGCTTGAGGCCACGTCAGGAATGGACACCCCCGGCCATGTTTCGGCGTTGCAATCACTTCTATAGCGCGACGACTGCGGAGTTATATCCTTGGTTGGTCAGAGATCTCGACGCTCTCAAATTCGGCGTGGCGTTCGCCACGAGGACCCGAGCAGCGCGCCATCTTGTTTGTGGCTGGATTTCTCCCGCGACGGTTGCAATCTCGCCTTGGACGTCGCCTCCAGCTGATTCTTGCCCACGCCGGCGACGGTGTGTTCGCAATGCACAATATTCTCACTGCGTTCCCCCAGCCCTGGCCCCTGCTTGCTCTGACTGGACTGGCCCATGGCTCATTCCTGAATTGATGCCGAGCATTCATTTGCGGGGATCGCCAGATTGAGTTCCTTCGAGGCTGTGCTTCGGAGTATTCGAAGGGGCTGGCTGAGGTTGGTTTTGTCCGCTTTGCCAAATATCTTGGGATATATTCAGGCCCTGTGGCTGAATCTGCCGGTTGGCGTTACACTCAGCAGACATGCTGTCCCCCTTCCGGAACCCTCCGCCAGAGGGGTTTTGGGACTGTTGCGGCTCTTTCGACATTCCAGGCGATGTGCGTTTCGGTTATTTAAGTTGTTCTGCGACTGTTTCGTATTCCCTCGCGTATTCGTCGGCAGTGTAAGAAATCGCTTCAGCATATCACGGCTGCTCTTCGGCATTATGTGCATTCTGTCTCGTGCAACGTGATCGCTAGATTCAAATGTGTTGCCCTCACATTAAGGCGACAAGATTGACCGTCTTGGTTGCACCGCGGGCGCGTTTTACTGCCTTCTGTTTTGTGGCGGAACAGGTTCGCGTCGAGCTTGAAGACGCCATGGGTTCGGATGACAGGTGTATTGCACGACGTTGTCAGTTCTATCGTCCGGCATAGCATTCATTGTCTATCTTCTGTTCGTTGCTCGACATAATAATCATTGCCACGCTATCGATTATCCCCCCCGACGCGGCGGACAAACTTCAACCGAATTTCGATGCTGCCTTTCCATAAGCGATCACCGTTTGGGACTTCTCCGATCGATGGGGTGTTTTCCTGATTCAGCAGTGAGTCCCGAGTATGACACGCGCGATGCTCGATTGCAACATGAAAGTTCGATCGGTTTGCAAAATCGTTGGTCCATGGTTTGGTCTTGGTGTTTTTCGTGCCTCATGTCGTGGCGCGTGCACGTTTGCAAGATAACGAGGTTACTCGAAACTTACATGCTGTTGTGGCTACCTCCCGTTCTTGTCGGTGCCAGGCGACCCGATTAACTTCGCCTGCATGCCTTTTCTACCGTGAGTGCCCGACACTGCGAGGAGTGTGCCTCCGCTGGATGGACCGAGGTTTCTTTGAGGAGTCCCCTGGGCGCCCGTGGTTCCACTTCCTCCTCCTCCACCCCTTTTGTGTGCTATTCGCCGTGTGCTGTATGCGTGCTCGCGTGAGGCTTTCTTCCACGCGCATAGTCATGCATGCCACCATTCTCTTGGGGCCCCCGATCAGGCATTCGCAGCAAAGCTGGGGCCGACTCTCGTCGCCAAAGGTCGGTCGTGCACCTGGCAACGTCTCGGGATGTTTTCCTAAACAAAAAATCATCAGCACCATTGCCATAATCGACATCATCATCGTCGTTATCACCAGCATCATCACCCTCGCCACCTTGTCCATCGAATCCTGTCCTACTTCTCCTCCCCATCCGTTTCCTCCTTCATCTTTGCAGCAGTTCCTCCTCCATCATCCTCTTCTCCTGCTCCGTCATCGTATCATCCGCCATATTCCGTTTCCTCTCACCGTCCACCCTCACATGTCAGCTTCCTCCCTCATCATCAACGCCCCCATCAGCCCTCAACATCTCCACGTTTCCGTCCCGAGTAAGAGAATGAAGAGAGGGAGGAGGACGATGACGAGGAGGAGGAATGTGAAGAAGAACGAGAGTGGATGGTGGAGAGAGGAGGGGGTGGAGGAGGAGGAGGAGAGATGAGGAGGAGACAGCGACGAAGACGACGGCGACGACTATGAGGACCTCTGGAAGCCTCTGGAGGCACCTTAACGTTTAAGAGTTTCGGCGAAGCTTTTCAGGACCGCGGCGACGACGAACGCGACGAGGGCGATGGCGACGTCGGCCACCACGACGACGCTGGCCAATGTCGACCGCCAGGACGACGACACCGACGACGGTCCTGGCGACAACGACGACAAGGACTACACGACGACGAAGACGAAGCCAAAGACGACGGCCGTGACGACGTCGACGACGACAAAGACCACGTCGGCGAGTGCCACGACAGCGGCCACGACGACGACGGCAGCGACGACGACGACGACGACGGCCACGGCGGCCACGAAGACGACGGAGACGACCACGCCCGACGGCGACCAGCGGCGGCGACGACCCCACCGAGGCTCCTTGCCGCCTAGCCCGACGGAGGGCGCCCCGCGCGCCGCGGCGCCCACGGCCTGCTCGCCCCCCTGCCGCGCCGCGCGCGCCGTCCGCCGCCGCCGCCTCGATGTGTGTGCAGGTGTGTGCGCGCGTGTGTGCGTGCGTGTGTGCGTGTGGGTTCGTGCGTGCCTGCGTGTAGGTGTTCGTGTATTGTAGACTTGAGTGTGCGTGTGAGTCTGTGTGCGTGTGGGTGTGACCGTGTGTGTGACCGTGCGTGCGTCTCTGTGCATCCGTGTGTCTGCGCGTCCGTGTGTCTGCGTGTCCGTGTGCCGGTGCCCTGTGCGTGTGTCTCTGCCTGTGCTGCAGGGCGCGAGCTAAGCCGTGTTTTAGTGATTTCGTGCACCATTTTCATGTTGAGCCGTTGTGCAGCACAGTAGGAACGAACCCATGACGAGGGAAGACAGAAACAACACAGAAACGGAAGGCATGCTTTTGCTTCCACCCTGGATGTCTGTTTGCGTGGAAGCCTTTTTGTCGCAGCCGGTCTCGATCCTACGATCCTCTTCGGCCATCCTTGACTCTCCTCCTCGATTGTCCTCCAGCGCCCCCTCCGCGATCCTCGCCCAGCGGAGTCCTCGCCCCGTCTCCCCGAGTTCCCCCCCAAACGACCTGCCGATGAAACGTTGAAGAAGGAACGACTCGGTACAGACAGGTAATGGGCGTTTCGCGTGTCCCCACCAGCTCATCCAGAGTCGATCCCCGAAGGAGCTGACGGGAGAAAGGAAGACGCATGTAATGTTATGATGCTCCAGCCTACTTTAGCCTTGATCACCAGGAATAATTTTCAGCGCCCAAGAAAGTACCGACACTCAAGGGTTTTCGCGTGCCGGGCCCTGGGAGACACTCGCCCGACACTGTTTCGACACTCTTTTGGCTTTTCTGGGTGCTCGAAATTATTTCTGGGATGCGGTCCTTGAGTAGGACGGGAACAACATAATTGTAGTGAGGCAAAGGGGGAAACAAGAGCGAATTGAGAGATCCCCAGGAGCGCGGGGGGGGGCCGGGAGGGCCGCTCAGGGGAACAGTTTGAGCCCGCGCGGGGGACGAGGAGGAGGGAGGAGGTGAAGGGAGGAGGGAGGAGGTGAAGGGAGGAGGAGGAGGAGGAGGAGGAGGAGGAGGAGGAGGACGACGACGACGATGCGGAGGACGCCTTCGCGCAACTTCGGGTCCGATTGCCTTCTGGAGGGCTCCTGCGGCCATGCTCGAGGCCTCCTCCGAGGAGTTGCTCGTGCGTCGCCCGTGCCCGCCCGCAGCTGTCGCTGGCGGAGCTCCTGGCGCCGCCGCCGGCCTTCCCCTTCCCGGCGGCGGCGGAGGCGCCAGCCCCAGAGGCGCGCGTCGGGGGCGGGTGGATTAGGATGGCAGGGTCCACGACAGCTCCCCCGGATTGCAGGGCGCCTCCTCCTGTGCTGAGGCAGGCAGCCCGCGATGCGAGGAGGATCGGTTTTCCGATTTCCGAGCATGCCCGTGCGGCCTTCCCCCTGGGCCCATCCTTGGCCGCATTCGCTGGCCGCGCCCCGCCCGCAAGTTGTCGGTATGGCCCTCCGAGGTGTCTGCATCCTCACCGTGCGTCCTTCTTATACGGGTTGACTGTCCGTCCCCAAGTCGGGCCGCACGAAAGGGGGGGGTTGGGAAAGGGGGGGTTACGAAGTCTGCTGCTTGCAGCTGGTTTCGGCCCCGCCGCCGGGCCCATCCCTCGATACATGGGCGCCTCCCGCCGCCGGGATGCGCTGGGAAAACTGGGCGTCGCGTAATGGGGGTGTCATAAATGGGGGGGTGGCGAGGGTGGTCCGGAAAAGGTGCCCAAGCGGTACCTAAACGAGCCCCCTGGGGCTCCAGAGGGGTCCGGCAGGGGGACGAAAGGGGCCCTTTTCTGACCCCTTCATTTACGACCCCCCATTCAGCCACGCCCAAGAAAATCAGCTACGTGAGCTGATTCTCTACCCTGCCCTTTGCAGTCCCCCCTTTCGTTCCCCCCGACCAGGCCACCCCTGGGCCACACACGTGCCTCGGGCCATCACTGGCGCAGCCCCCCTCCTGGGCGCCCCCCCCCCCCTCGGACGCCCCCTGCGGGGGGGGGGAGGCGCTGCGTGCAGCCCCGGAGAGCTTGCGATCTGTGTTTTTCGGCCCCGGTTTTTCAGTCGGGCCCGACCCTCCACGGGAGGAATCGTCAAAAAGTTGTCACAAACAATAGTCCGCGGACGATGTTGTTGGCGTATCTTTGGACATGTTTGGGGTATGTTTGGCTGTTCCCAACTGTTCACTTCAAAAATCCACCTGCAGGGGACATGCCCGACCGAAGCCTGGGCGTCAGTCTCTCAGGCCTCGGCCACACGTGGGGCCCGTTACTGGGGCACCCGCGGCGCTCGCACTCGAGCCGTGTGCCGCGTGGCGCGTGGGCGGGAGAACAAGCGCATCACAGACTGCACTGTCGCAGGCGATTTCTCTCCCCCAATCCCCGACTTCCGCCAGAAAAGTTTGGTCGCTCAGAAAAGGGGAGGAATCTTGGGATACATCCCGAGGGGGCTATTCGGACGCACCCCTGTCGAGGATGGACGCCCCCCCCTCGTATATCCCAGGGTTGGGCCCCAAATTGTTGATCCATTCGGAAACCCCACGAAGCCTGGGATAGGGGTCGACATATCCCTTGTTACACTGCAAGGGGCGGCGCACGTTGCACGGGGGGAGGAGGAGGAGGAGGAGGAGGAGGAGGAGGAGGAGGAGGAAGAGGTGAAGCCAGGGCTCCCACGAGGGCGCGAAGTTATTCGCGCTTCGCGGTCCTCGCTCCTTCTCTCCCCCCTCCTCCTCGTCCTCCCTTTCTCCCTTTTGGGGGGGCGGCGAGGCACAGCCTGCACTGCAAGGAAGAGACGAAGGAGGAGACAAGACGAGGGGAGCAAAAAGTGGCATAAACAGAAAAACTCGAAGGTCCGCGCGGATTTCTCGGATCGGCGCTGGAGCTCCCCGGCGGCGCCTCCGGCGCCGCCCCTTGCGCGCTCCGCGCGCCAGGGAGGGGGGTCCAGCGCCGATCCGAGAAATCCGCGCGGACCTCCGAGTTTGTATGTTTACGGCACCTTTTGTTCCCCTAAAGACGAGGGGAGACAGCCACAGCAACAGCAGGGGGGCAAACTGAAGCAGGAATACACGATCATTGATTGATGGGCGTGCCTGCCAAGGCCACTGGTCCATCAGAAACAGATTCCGGGACGAAAGTTGGCGCCAGAAGTCGGGTCGGACGGCCTTAGAATCGAAAGACGTCTGTCCCAGAGTGTTCTGGAACGCTCTCATAGCGTTCTGGTCTGGAACGCTTTGAAACGGCCGCGGCACCCGAAGCATGATCCAAACCCGCCGATTTCTCAGAGATGTCCGTTTTATATCTGTCCGATATTATCTCAATTTTGCCTATGTCTTACGTTGTTGAGCCATTGGGCTTTCAAACATTGGATTCCGGGACGAAAGTTGGCCCAATGGAGAGGTTCGGGAGTCAGGATTGTTTGGGCCGCGCATTGAACAAGTCATATCGGCGTATGTTTGGGGAGAGGTCCCCAGGGGAACGGGCCCGGCAGGTTTCGATCAGTTCTCGGACGTGCCTGGAAGATTTCGGGGCTCTTTCGGGCACGTGGCGGTTTTCAACAGCAGCGCCTCGCCAGAGTGTTGGCCCGAACGCCGCAGCTCGAGAGGTAGCGGAAAGGAAACGGGTCTGGCAGGGACGGGTCCTGGAAGTTGGTCCTCCGTTTTCGGGCTCCTGGGGCCTTCCACAGGCCTTCCGCGCCGTCGACAACAGGATGCACAGTGGGGTGGCGATCGAGTGGGGGGGGTGAAGGAAGGTGCACCTTATGACCCAAAAGGAGCCCCCTGGGGGCCGAAAAGGTGCACGGAAGGTGGCCGTTCTCTCCCCCCCATTCGGCCTTCTTCACCGGCGTTGGCGCGCAAGTTGCCCGCAGAAGGTCGCGCGTGAGCGCCCTCGTTTCCAGTGTGGCGTTCCGCACTGGCGGCCCGCGCAAGCCACCGCGTGAGATCGCTGCGGCATCTCGCGTAAGACCCGCTTCTCTTCGTCGCCCATTGACCGCCACCCCATGTGTGACCTGTGTGACCTCCTCCCCTGCCTCCTCCCTGTGCGCAATCAGCATGTTTTCGGCAGCGCTTCCAGGCGTAATGCCCGTCGAAGACATTCCGACAGCGCACTCTTCTGCCAACGCGTCCCCCTGGATGCTTGCCTTCGCGACGGCGGCACGGAGCAGCGCCCACTGTGCTCCATGGCACCGAGGAGCCCGGGGAGTCCCCGAGGCACCCCGTTCCTTGGGCCTCTGGGGGCCCGCCCCCAGACGCCCCCCCCCCGCCCATGGCGCGGTGCGCCAACGAGTTGGACGGGGTTGAAGTTGATTGTCTGGGCCTCCCAGACGGGGTCGGGGTGCAGTCAGGTCGCATATCGAGGACGGTGCCAAGAAGTCGGGAAAACCCCTTTGCGGGGCCAGGTCCGAAGTTGAAGCAGCGCTGCAACAGGAGAACCCGCCTCCTCGATGCAACCGTGCACGACACCTCAGTTCAATTTGGGCCGCCACGGAGAAAGGCCCAGAATATGAACATATGAAAATATGGACATGCACAACTCCTCCCCTTGTAAGGACGGGCAGCTTCCCAAGGCTGCCCTCGCATCCTTGCCCCTTCGGCCCATCCTTGGCGACCTTCGTTGGCCAGCCCCGTTCGAACACGCCAACGTGGCCCTCCGAGGCCCTTTGCACCCTTACCGCGCACACTATTCTGCGACTCGATTGCGCAGAAGGTCGGAGGATCGCGCCGCACCGCCGATGCGCCGCCGATGAATCTGCGACGTCGCCGATGCATCGCCGACGTCGCCGATCCATGGCCGATGCATCGGCGATGCATCAGCGATGTGGGTGTATTCTTCCGATCCCATCTACTCGGGCCCCATCTGGGAGGCCTCCAGATGGGTGGTCTGAGGCACAGCTCTGCTTGTGGCCAGCGGGAAGGATGGGGGCGAGGTTCGAGCTTCTGGACTCGAGACTTTGTGTGTTGCCCTTTTCCGGTCTCCGGGGGCCGTTCTCGGGCCCTTTTGGCCGTCGAAGGCATGTCCGGAGTGAAACATTGTGCCGGATGGACCTTGGCAGAGGTCCGAGGTCCGGGGATTGATTTTGAGCTGACTTGGCCGTGTACCCCCCCCCCCCGCATTCATAGATTTTCTGGGGCCCCATCCAGTCAAGGCTCCCTGGCCGTCTCCCAGAGAGGGCGCCTCCAGCGGTGAGTTTGGTAGCTTTCGGCCCCTCCCTCCACCGCGCCCGCACGGCGCTGCTGTGCATCCTGGCGCGGCCGACGCGATCCGACTTCGGTTCCGTGCCGATGCAGCTGGATACGACTCACACTCCGATCCGACCTCCTGGTTCGACGTTGACTGCTCCTAGATCCGGACGGCGTCCGTGGAGACGCTGGTCTCGTGGGACTACATCGGGGGCAACGATAGGGGGAGAAGGCATAGGGGGGGGGGGCGCATCGACCCCCAACCGCGCACTGACCGTCAGTAAAAACCCGATAGCCCCACCCCGCCCAGACAGGTGCGGATTCATGATCGGGCGCCTACCGCCGATCTATCGAGGATGTGTGCCCCCTATGCCTGTCCCCCCCTGTCATTGACCCTCACCACGGGGGGGGGTTCAGGGCTTTCGACAAGGGGGAGGTGGCGAGATCTGCGGCACGCAGCTGGCTTTTGCGGCCCCGCCGCCGGACGCTGTCCCTGACACATTGGCGCCGAGAGGCACTACAGTTCAGTCGGGCATGCCCCCCTACAGGGGGAATAGTCAAAAATAGTTAAACAAATAGTTTGCGTACGTGTCTAGTATGTTTTGATAATGGTAGGTGTCTTTCTTTTGCTATTAGTCATTCTTCGTATAAAATCCGCCTGTACAGGGGATATGCCCGACCTTTCACTACAGTCGAGGCCAGCCCACAAGAATCCAACCCATAGACCCCAGGACGTGCATCGATTTTTGGTGTGGGAGCGTCACGCTTTCCATCGCAAAGCCCTTGAAACCCAAGAAACCCATGGCACCCTGGAGGCAAGAGATGTGATTCTTGGCATGGGTCTCCACTTTAGGCGAGCCAGCTATGTACGTAAGCTGGTGCCTGGGCAGGTGCCCTGGCCCCCCCATCTGCTGACCCCGACAGTCGGACCACCCCACCACGGCGCCTAGGTCGTGACCAAGAGCCAGAGGAGAAGCATCGACCAAAAGAAAAACACGTTCGAAGGTCCGCGCTGATTTCTCGAGTCGGCGCTGGGACCCTCCGTGGTAGCGCCTGCGACGCCGCCCATGGCACGCTCCGCGCGCCAGGGAAAGGGGGTACAGCGCCGACTCGGCAGAATCCGAGCGGGCCGCCCCAGGTGCATTTCTGTGCAGACTGTGTGCACTTCTGTCTTCTCAGGACGCCTCCTGGGTTGTGAGGTTCCAACCCGCGTAAGTTTTGGGTCTACCAGAGAACGTCGAGCACCAAGAAAGTGCCGAAACGTGAGGGTCTTCCCGTGTCGGGCCCTGGGAGGCGATATTCGTTTGACACTGTTTCGATGTTTCTCTGGGGGCTCGACATTATTGTAGTGGCCTTCGGCCAGTGCCGCCGATCCGGGTCGCTCGGTGTTATTCTCCAGACGCAGACATTATGGGCGCACACTCAAACGCACAAATTTCTCGGGTTACCTTCGAAAGGGCGTAGGAATGCAGTTGGGTCAATAGAGCCATCTCGCAACAGTGGTTCTATCAACGGCGGGGTGCTTGCAGTGACCGTGGGGACGGGAAATAATAATGACATGACAATTCCATACAGGATGCCGATCACTTTGGAAACTCACGATACGTCGTGCACGGAGTCGTGTTACGAAACATGTGGCCTGGACGATGTGGTGCGAGCGGTGGAGGCGAGCCTATCGGCGCAAGGACGCCCTCTTGGGGCGTTTTTTGAGCCATCTTAGGAGCCTGTCAGGGCGTCGTGTGGCTTCTTGGGGGCTTTCGGAGGCCCTCTTGGAGGCTCTTGGGGGCTCCTGGGGGCCTCGTGGGCTGGAAGGCTAGATTTTTCCGCTTTTCGTTCTCTTTTGGGTCCTCTTGGGGCCGTCTTGGGGGCCTGTTGGGCCGATTTGGGCGGCTGGGCCGCCTTGGGGCCCTCTTGGGCCGTCTTGGGACGGTCTGGGGGCCTCCTGGGCCGTCTTCGAGCGGTCTTGGGGGCCTCTTGGGCCGTCTTGGAGCGTCGGAAAGCCGAAAAAAGCGACAGCCCCAAAAACATTGAAAAAACCAATGGGAATCAACGATTTTTGCCCCTGGGGGCCATCGTGGGAGGCCTCTTGGAGGCCTCTTCAGACGTCGTGGAAGGCTCTTGGGCCGTCTTGGGGCCATCTTGGGCGTGTTCGGGCGATCCTTCGGGGTCTCGGGACTTTCGTAGGCTGTCCTCAGAGACTTTTGCGGCCGCGGCCACCCTTCCAGCGCATCCTCGAGATTAGAGCCTTCTGTAAAAGCAGCGCCCCGCATCCGCCGGAAACTCGCACCCCGGCCCCCCATCCCCCCTTCCCCGGCAGAGCCACCCCGGCAACCCCCCCAGAGGCTGAGGCTCAGCCTCGAGGCTGTAGCTGAGACTCCTTGAAACTCACACGCCGGATCGGCGGATTTCTGGAACGTGGTCCTTAAGTATGATGGTAACGACATAAACAATGAGTATTCTCTCCTTCTCAAAGCGCCTCTTGGGGCATCCTGGAGGTCACTTCTGGGACATCTTGGGGGCCTCTTGCTGGCACGGTATGCGCCGACGACGGGGGGAGAACCCACGGCGGTTATCGAGAGAGGCCTTCGGCACATCCCGCCACCGTGCCACAGCATCGCATCACAGAGCGCAAAGAAACCATGGTCGGAACCGTTATGGGGACAGGCTCAGGGGGGAATGCATCGACCCCTCCTATGAAACCTCGCATTCCTGGGCGGGGTGGGCCACCGGGCCCCCATCGGCGATGAACGGGAGGGGTCGATGCATCCCGAGGGGAACGAACAATGACATAAACACAACAACTCGGAGGCGCCGCCAGGGGGGGTTTTGCGCCGATCCGACAACTCCGCGCGGACCTCCGAGTTTTTATGTTAATGTCATTCTTCGTTCCCCTAGGACTGCATTGACCCTCCCCTTCATCGCCGATGGGGGCCTTGATGGCCCACCCCGCCCCGGAATGCGCGGTTGCGCTATCAAGAACCTATCGCCGATCTATCGGTGATGCACCGCGATTGCAGCGATACCAGATCTGTTTTTCGAATCCGCGGCCCCAGAGGCCCCGACCGCTTCTCCGGGTCCCGGGCCGACATCGATGAAAATTGCCGGCCAGGCTGGAAAAAGCATGTCGTCGGAAGGTTAGATTTCTAGTACCCAGCCCAATTCCTCTGCGCCGCCGCCGCCGCCGCCCCCATTGCTGACACCGGGGTCGCTTCTATTCCTCAGGGGGCGCAGGCCTGTGGTAGAAAGGTCGACGCGCGAGAAAACGGAGAAGGCGGAGGAGGAGAAGGAGGAGGAGGAGGAGGAGGAGGAATAGGAGGCCGAGGAGGAGGAGTAGGAGGAGGAGGGGGAAGGGGAGGAGGGGGAGAAGGGGGAGGAAGGGGAAGAGGAGGAGGAGGAGTAGTAGGAGGAGGAGGAGGCCGAGGAGGAGGAGGAGAGGAGTAGGGAGGATGGGAGGAAAGGGGGGGAGGGGGGAGGAGGAGGAGGAGGAGCAGGAGGAGGAGGAGTAGGAGGAGGAGGAGGAGGAGGAGCAGGAGGAGGAGGGGGAAGCGAGGAGGAGGAGGAGAGGAGGAGGAGGAGGAGGAGGAGGAGGAGGAGGAGGAGGAGGAGGAGGGGGAGGAGCGCGGGGACCTGAGGCTCGAGCCATCCCTTATCGCGAGCCGGTCCCCTTCCGAGCAGCCCACGCCGTCCGCGCCGCCGCCGCTGCTCCCCGCGCCAAGGCCAGCGCTCGCGCCGGCTGCCGCTGCGACCCCGAGGCCCCTCCGGGCCTGACGGCAGGCCCAGGCGCCGCGGGTTCACCGCCTCTGTCTGGCGATGTACACCTTAGGCGATGCTTAAGAAAACTTAAATTTTCGGCCAGGGTCTCGATTATTCTTAATGTTTCAATGTAAATCCTACGACTTTAATAGAAATTTTGGGTTTTTAGTCAAGTTCTGAGACTATGAATTTCTTAACCCATGATTTCTTAAGCATTTCGCAAGGTGTACTCTGTGCAGTCTGGGGCCCGTGATTGGGCCCCGGGGCAGTCAGACATAGATCCAGAGCGAGAGAGTTGCCCCCCGGGGCAGCGGTCGGGGTCTTTGGGGCCGTGCATCGAAATCGTTGCGAGAGTCCAGCATCCCCAAGCAGCATTGTTCGATCCAGGGTAATTAGCTCCGAAGAGTGTTCGCGCGTCCTTCTGCTCCTGATCCGCCTGCGCCGTCGGTGTCGTCGTCGGCCTTTTCGTCAGCATCGTCGTCGTCCTCCTCCGCATCCACGTCATTATCCTTCCCGCCCTCGCCCTCCCCACTTCCACTACACCTTCTCCTTCTCCTCCTCCTCCTCCTCCTCCTCCTCCGCCCGCTCCTTCTCCCGCTCGTCCTCGTCCTTATCCTCCTCTCCTCCTCCTCTCCTCCTCCTCATCCTCCTCCTCCTCCTCCTTCTCCTCCTCCTCTTCCTCCTCCTCCTCCTCGAATTACCTGATCATGTCACTCGTGAGCGTTATCCCCCCTCCCCAGCACGCTCGGTACCCAGGCCTGACCCCCCCCCCCGCCCTGGGTGACGCTCACGATTGTATTGGGCGGGGGGGCCTGGACCCCCCCCTCCGCATGCTAGGTGGCGGCCTGTGCGCACAGGCATGGCGTGGTGCTGAAAGGGTGGCGAGGGCCTGCTGCGCGCGACCGCAGCGGTCGCCGTGCAACAGGGGGTTCTGGCGGAACGGGCTCAGGAGGGGAAAAAAACACACAGACTAGATTAGTTGCCGATTTCCCAGAAAGTATAGGAAAACATGGGCAGTGGGGGGGAAGACAGAAACCCAGAACATATGGGGGATCTGTTTATTTGCGTGTGTATTTGTTTCTGTGTGCCCTGTCTCCCTAATCAAAGCTGCGCGTATAGCCCGCCTAGCTTTTAGCAGAAGAGGTTCGCTCTCGCCCCGCCGACCCCCCAAAAAAGTGTATTTGTGTTTGTGCCCCAGGGCCCCTTCAGAGGGGTCTGGGATGCTGTCGGTGATTTTGTGCCCTGGGTGCTTCGGCGGGTCCCCGGGGCCGTCGGAGGGCGCCTTGCGCGGACGAGCTGGCGCCCTCGGGCCCCCACGGCGCCCGCAGGCTGCAGCGGCAGCGGCCCAGGGCCCGTTTCCCTCGGGGCCGGAGTGTTTGGTGCGGAAGCATTCCCTGAGCAGCTCGGTGGCAAAGGCGCGTTGGCACGCGTGGGCGGAAAAGAGGGGGGTGATGACTAGGGGGGTGTGGATATCATGGCGTGGGCCATGCTATTTCCCCAGATTTCATGGCGCCTCTTCTTATCTCGTTACGTTCCTGGCCCCCCCGCTGGGCTGCGCACATGCCGCCGGTCATGATTTGCACCCCCCCTCCTCTTGGACACCCCCCTCTTGGCCGCTCCCGATGGCACGCGTGGGCCCCGGGCAGTTCTGCGTTCTACTTGACGCGCAGGGCACGCGATGCAACCTGTGCGGTGCCACCACTGCCGGCACCGTTGCAAGCATTGCGCGGGGAGCACGAGCGCCCGAATGCAAGCGTTGCGTGGGGAATGGCACGGCGCTGGAGCTCTCGACCCTATCGTGGGGCTCCTGTTGTTCCTCCTGTTGCTGCTCCTCTTGCTCCTCCCGCTGCTCCTCCCCCCGCTCCGTTCTCCCCTCCCTCAACGAAGGCCGCCATGACCTTTTGAAAAGCAGAGAAGACGACAGGGAGGAGGAGGTGCAGGAAGAGGACGAGGAGGAGGTGGAGGAGGAGGAGATGAGTGACGAGTGCTGAAGGCCTCCGTGGTCTGGCGAGCCCCGCAAAGATGCCTCGCAAGATACTAATGTGCTCGTTGGCACGTTTGGCGTTCTGGTGTACACAGGCGTTGTGGTGCACGGGGGCATTGTGGCGTGCGTTGGCGCTGCGGTACACATGGTTGTTGTGGTGTACACAGGCGCTGTGGTGTACACAAGCGCTCTGGTGCACGCAGGCAACGAGGCGTACATGATTGGGGCCTACACCCTTCCTGCGCGGTCACCCGGCCTGGCCGCGGGGGCGGGCGTTGCCCGGGCGAGCTTGGCCGGGCTTTTGTGCCATGGCGTTCAGCGTTGTTGGCGGTTGGAGCCGTCTGGGGACGCACAGTCAACACTGATAGTAAGTAAGGATGAGCGGTTTCCCAAGGTTTCCCTTGCATCCTTCTCCTTTTGCTGGCCGCGCCCCGCTCGGAGAGTCTCGGCAGGGCCTTCCAGGGCCCGTGCATCCTTATCGTGTATCCTTACTGCCAGTCTTGGCTGTAGATCTTCTTGCGTATGGCGGCCTGAGAAGCACAGTGGAGGCCCCATGCCAGGAAACACCCTGCTTGCCTCCAGGGTGCCCTGGGTTTCTTGGGTTGCGATGGTTTTGCGATGGAAAGCGTGACGTTCCCACACCAAAAACCAATGCTCATCCTGGGGTCTCAGGGTTGGGTTTCTTGTGGAAGGTTTCTTGTCGTCGGGCCCCTGACGTATGGCGGCCTGAGAAGCAAGCCGGGCGTCAGCAGCGGCAGGGATGGGGCGAGAGAGGAGAAGGGAGCGGCCGCGCGGCGGGGACGACTCTCTCCCCCGCCTCCCCTCTCTCTCTCTTCTTAAAGTCGGGCCTCTCCCTCTACTGGAGGAAGTTCCAGAATCCCCCCGTAGGAGCACATGCCCGGCCTGACTCTCGCCTCATCCCTCTCCTCGTTCCATCGCGCGCAGGCTTAAGTCGGGCCTGTCCCTCTACATGGGGAATATTCAAAAAATGTTGTTCAGTTATTTGTTGAGTATTTTGAGTATCTTTTGTTTTTCGTCGAAAATCCCCCTGTAGGGGGACAGGCCCGACCCAAGCGCAGGCGCGCAGGTGCATGCCCCGTCTGCCCAGGAGGGGGAAAAGAGGGCATGCGTGGAGGCCTTTTGTTCGCCTCCCCTGTGCGCGTCCTCCTCCGCGCCGCGCCCTCCCTCCCCGGAGCCGACCGGAAGGGCCCGAGGTGGCCGGGCACGGAACCCGGCCAGCGGGAAGGGCGGGCAGGCTCGAGGTTTTGTGCTTGGGAAGGCTGTCTGCCCCTTTTCTCGGCCTCGGGGCGGAGGGAGGAGGAGGAGGAGGAGGAGGAGAGAGGGGGAGGAGGGAGGAGGAGAGGGAGGAGGGAGGAGGGAGGAGGAAGGAAGGGGGAGGAGGAGGAGGAGGAGGAGGAGGAGGAGGAGGGGGGGCGTCCTCGGGCCCCAGGTCCGTCAACAAAACGGATCCGGGGTGGGAAGCTGCGCCAGATGGATCCCGGGATGGGTCCGGGAGCGATCCCGAGCGGTGTTTTGGTCTCATCCCTTCTCCTTGCCGATTCTCTGGGGCCACAGCTGGCTCAGACCCCCCAGCCGCCTCCCAATGGGCAGAAGCTTCTTGCGTGCTTCGATAGGAGCGGCGCGGACAAGCGGGGTCGTCTGGACGGGCATTGGCGCGCCGCGCGCTGCCTGCGTAAGGTCGCTCGCAAGTGCCCTCGTCTCCAACGTAACGCGCCGCGCTGGCGGCCCGAGTAAGCCGCGGCGTAAGGTCGCCATGCCATCTTGCGTAGAGTCCGTCTTCCTCGTCGCTCCTATGACGCGCTCCCAAAACTGGCCTCGCCCTAGAGGATAGAAGGAGCTGGCGTCCCTTCCTCGGCGGGCGGAAAAGGCGGCGGAAGTGTAACAAGGCCATCCCTCTTGCCGAAGGCTGGCGGAGACCAGCGAAAGCAAGCATCAGCATTCCAAGAGATGGTTTTGTGTGTTCGGGGCGGTCGGAAGGGGCTCGCTCTCGACCCGCAGATCAAAAAATTGTTCGGGGGGGTGGGGTCCGGACTCCGCCATTTGAAATGCGATTCTCTCAGCAAGCCGTTCTCTCCTCACATCGACTGTTGGGCCTGGGTGGCGCAGGGTGCACTCAGCGCAGCTGCCGCGCAGAAGCAGCAGCGTATCGGCGCAAGAGCGTGCCCCTGCGCTGGTCACGCGTGTGTTGGTCGCGCTGTCATGCTCATGACGCGTGGAGCGCTTCTGCCGATCTCTTGAGTGGGGCCGAGGGTCAGAGAGCGCCTTTCTCTGCAGGGCCACCAGAAAAGGGACTTCAAGGTGGTTCAGCGCATTGCTGCCGATAAGGCCGACGCAGATGGGCAAAGTCTGAACCGTTCGCGTGTGTCTCGAGTTTTGGCTTGACGCCCACTGTGGTGCATCATGCTCAACATGACTGAACAGGTTGGTTGCGCCCCTTGACGTCCGTTTGGGGTGCTCTGCAGACCTGACCCCCAGCCCTTCCCAGCTGATCTCTCACGAAGGAGCCCAGTGGAGGGCACTGCGGGCCCACCACGTCGTCGCACGCGGCGTAGGGTGTGGTTTGCAGTGGCAGCGCGCGCACGCAGAGCGGCACGTCCTCGCTGCATGCCGTGGACGTCTGGCATGATGCCGGTGACTCGGCAGGCGCGCGGGAGCACTGGGCCCCCATCTGCAGCGGCTTGGCGAGCCCCATGAGGATCCCCTCCGAGCTGGACGAGGACACGTCGCCGTTGCTTTATGTCGGGCGTGCCCCTCTACGGCAGGAGTACTCAAAAGTAGTCAAACAATAATCTGGGAACGATTTGTGATTCTCATTGCTAAGTATGTTTTGAATATGTTTGACTTTATTCTGTTCGACGTCCAAGATCCGCCTGTAGGGGGACGCGCCCGACATAATCGTTGCTTCAGCACTTGTTGCAGGAGCTTGTATTGTCGGGCAGCGTCTGGCAGCTCAGCTCTCGCTGGGCAGAGGACCAGCTCCAGGCCGCTCTGAGCATGCGGTAGGCCCCAGCAGATCGTTGGAGATTATTGGATCCGTTTTTTCGGTTCCCGGGAGCATGTGAAGCCGAATCGGGGCCTCCGTGAGGTTCAGACTACGATGTCCAGATATGCGATAATAGCGTGAGATGTTATTGTGCGGACGTGTGGTAATATGTTGCTTCGGGCGTTGCGGCCAGGATCGCATCTGAACATGTCTAGCGCGCTCGGGACGAGTTATGAGGCAACCAGGTACGGCGCCTGGGAATTCTCGGGTGTGCCCGCGCGTGTGGCAGTTGGTGAGTCGCATTGAACATCTGTTCATTCGATTCTGGAACCATTGTATCGTTCATATTATTGCAGGCTGTAACATCCTGGCCAAGAATTCTGGGTGGTTTCCAGATTCCTTGCATCCGAGGCCATCAGCACACTGCAATTCACGTGATGCTGACCTTCGCATATGATGTGTGTTCGAAGCCCGCGGTGGCCGAGATCTCCAGGCGGATCCAGCCGTGCCAACGAGGGCGCCCCACAGACTCCCAATGCCCGAAGCCGTCAGCACACGGCAATTCACGGGTGAGCATGCGTGATGCCGATGTTCGCAGTCGCTCCGTCTTGGAGCGCGCGCTGGCCGGGATCTCCAGGCGGATACTTGCTGTGCCCACGAGGGCACCCTGCGGACCCCTCCCATCGGAGGCCGCCTGCACGCGGCAGTGCGCCGGCGAGCATCCACGATGCCGGCCTTCGCACGTGAGCTGCCTTGGAGCGCGCACTGCCCAGGATCTTCGGGCGGATCCCGCCGTGCCGACGAGTGCACCCCCCTGGATTGCGGGGGGTGGACGGAACGCCCACACTGACACGTCGAACAGTGAGTTGTCCGTTGTCGGTTCTCGAGGGGGCGCCGCGGCCGTCATTTCCCAGGCTTGCGACCGCCAGGTGTGGGCCCGAGGTCGTTTTCTTTAAACCACGTTTTGCTAGAGGGGGTTCTGGCCATCCCCGATGGATGCCCAGAGAGGCCCTGACACTCCTGGGGGCATCGAAGCTCAAACCTCCTCCCGCCTCTCCGCCTCTTCTTCCTCCTGAGAGAATTTAGGACACAAGAATGACAATAACAACGGGAGCAGGAGCTTCCAGAGATCCGCGCAGATGTCTCAGGTCGGCGCCAGATGAGCCTCCACACCCTCTCCTGGGCAGGCGGCGCTGGTGGCGGCGCTCGCGGCGCCTCCAGGGGTGCGGGGAGGGGGTCTGATCGATGATTCGCGGGAAGTGTGATAGCCCAGTGTGTGCGTGCGTGTGTATGTGTGCATTACTGTGTGTGTGCATCACTCGGCGTGTGTGCATTACTGCGTGTGCATTAGTGTGTGTGTGTGTGTATGTGTATGTGTGTGAGTGTGTCTGTGCGTGTCTGTGTGTGTGTGTGTCTGTGTGTCGGCTCCGAAGACAGCGCGCAGCCTGCGAGGGGTCTTCTTACACCGCGCGCGTCATGTTCGAAGGGCTTCGCTAGACAAGCACACGTTGGCGCTTGCACTCCAGGCCTCCCGGATGTGGCCAGAGCCGATTGGGTCGGAGGCTCGCGCCGCGTCGGCGATGCATTGGCGATTCGGCTCGATGTGGAGCCCGACCTTCTCCACGTCGCGATCGCCGATGCACCGCCAACGTCGCCGATGCACCGCCGATGCGGCACGATTCTCCGACCACATCTACTCAGACCCCACCTGCCTTTGGGCACATCGCCTGGGGACCATCGATCCGAGCCGAGATGCGTGGAGCTCTCGCTCGTGCCAGCCGGCACGCCACTCGGGTTGCCCCAGCGGGTCCTCCCTTGTTGCTGGAACTCCCCCCAAGCGGTGCGGTGACTGCAGCCAAGACGTTGAAGTGAGGACGGGCTCTGGTTTTCGGGCCGTTCCTGAGATCCAGGTCGGTGAACCTCCTCGCGTCCGAGGCTCGACGCTGCGTCTGGCGCAGAAGCACTTGCTGTTCTTGCTGTGGTGTGTAACGGATGTGTCGATGTCGGGTATGGCCTGGACCCCGGGTAAGGGGACCCGGTTAGTGGTAGGGCCCCGCAGCCTTTGAATTGTCGGGGGAGCGTAAGACCCGGGTTTGCCAGGACTCGGGTTCGCCATCGTTTTTTGACGACCGCGACTCGGATTTTGACGAGTAGGAGTTTCGTTGGATGTCTGCAGCGGGAGGCCTTGTCAAAATGCAGGCTCGGCCTCGTCATTTTTTTGACGACCTCGTCGGGGATTTCCGAGTCTCCCGTAACCGGGTCTTACGTCTCCCCGAAATTGGCCAGAATCACTGAACCAGGTTCGCCACAGCTGGTGTTCCGCGGGCCGACGACGCGACGACCGCCGCGGGGCGGCGGCGGCGGCCGCACGCCGCCCGCCGCGCCGGAGGACGGCGGCTCGGGCCCCGCCCTGGAGCCGTGGTTCGTGCCGCTGCCGGCGGGTGCGCGCAGGACCGCCCTCGCCCCCCGCCCTCGAGGAAGGACAAACGCCATAAAACATGAGCGTTCGGCGCTCCGCGCGGATCTCTCTTGGATCCGCGCTGCCGCGCTGACCCCCCCTGGCGGCGCCTCCGGCGCCGCCCCCCGGCGCGCTCCGCACGCCGGGGGGGGGGGATCCAGAGCAGATCCAAGGTCTCCTCGCGGAGCGCCGGAAGTTCATGGTTATGGCGTCTGTTCTTCTTCTGCCCCCCCAAAGGCGCGGCCATAGAAGAGTTTGTTCATATATGAGGTCGACTACAGATTAGATTTGCTTTGCCCCAGAGAATGGAATTTGCCTTCGAATATGAGACACATGCGTAAGCTGTTGTTAGATCTACGGGCACCATACACGTGATTCGGCGGAAACTTGAATCTCGGGATAAGACGGAACTTGTGGCCGATCTCCGACTCGAGGAAAAGGTCCGCGCCGTGTCGACCAACGGCGACCATGCCGCCAGCCTTCCACGTTGAAGGCCGCCGGCGACCTTGAACCGTCCGATCGTTCAGGGTTGAAGGACCCCCGCGGTGCCAGAGACCCGCGCCGAGGGCGGCACGACACGAGCCTGCCGTACGCCGGGGTGTAGTGTGCGATCTGCGTCGGCGGGGCTTGCGGGGCACGGGGTTGCCCGCGTCGCGCCTCCGCGGGGCGCAGCGGGGAGCTCTGTCGAGGTGCGCGCCCGCCCCTCCCGGGCGCGGGTTGCACACCACACCCTTTGCAGAGCACCCCGTTCAGAGTCACCGACCCCATCTTGGAGAGCAGCAGAGAAGCACAGGACGACGAAGGAGCCAGCCACGCGAAGATGCTGCGCTTCGCTCCCCGCCCCATGTTGTTGCTCCCTGCGTTAGGCATCTCAGATGCGCGCTCCCCCTTCCCACCACCGCTCGCGCACTCGCGGCGCTAGCCTGCGTCGGCGCTTGGGCAGCGCCAGGGTCACCTCTGGGGGCGTCGCAAGCTCCTCCTGGGAAGCGAGGGCCGGGACGAGAGAGGGAGGATCGAGGATGGAAGATCGAGGAGGATCGAGGAGAGAGGATCGAGGAGGATCGAGGGGGGAGGATCGAGGATCGATGGGTCGGGACGAGGGGGGGAGGATCGAGGATCGAGGAGGCTGCCGGACGTGTCTCCGTCTTCTGGAGGGGGTGCTCCGAGAGGGGGGCCGAGGGGCCCCGGAGCCCCTGCAGGAGAGGCGGTGACCCCCTGCGTGGCGGTGGCCCCCCTCTTGGCCTTCCCTGGGCCCTCCCAGTCGAAGCTCGAGAGGAGGCTTTTGTCAGAAGGGGAAAAATCGACTACATGTAAGAGTGACCTTTCGCCGGAGTGACCTTTGGTGCGGGCCCAATGGGGCCCCCCAATCGCCGAACGCGATGCTGTAGTTGCGTCTCGCGCGCTCGTTTTTGGCCCCCCCCCGCGGCCCCCAAAAAGCCGCGCACCAAAGGTCACTCTTACCGAGGGACACTCTTGCGTGCATTCGGAAAAAAAACACACACACACACAGACACAATTGACCGCCGAAGCCCCAGAAAAATACTGGACAATATTGGAAGTGGGGGGGGAGGCAAAAACCCAGGGCCCCTTCATTTTATGCGTGTGTGTCCCAGGGCCACTTCATTTTGGGACACACGGGGGCTGCTTTTAGGTCGGGTATGTCCCTTTACATGGGGGGAAATCCAAAAACAGTCAAAAAATAGTCATGGACGATGTTTCGGGAAAATTGTTGGACCATTCTGGAGCTTTTGTTTCCTTGTGCTCATGTTTTGCCCACACTCCGCCTGCAGGGGGGCGTGCCCGGCCTAACCTCAGTGGTGACCCCGAGAGTGTCTGTCAAGATGACTCGAATAATACGAACAGGTTTGCGGACCCAGCTCGGCTAGCAGACCGAGTTCAGACCTATACTAAACCTCATTCTTATGAATTCTGTGGGCAACACCAACGCAAATCGTCTCATCTGCTCTCTCTTTGGCTGACTTACCCCCTCGGCATTCCCCAGGCTCCCCCCCTCGAAGCTCGAGGCTTTGGCGACCCAGAATCGATCGATGTTGAACGATCGGACGTTGCGGCAGCGGCCGATCGTTCAAGGTTGAACGATCCCTGCGGTGTCAAAAACCAACGCCGGGGTCGACACGACACGAACCTGCCGTAACCTCAGTGGTGACCCCCTCGGCATTCCCCGGGCTCCCCCCCTCGAGGCTCGAGGCCTCTGGGACCTGCAGGGGCTGCCTCCTCGAGGGAGCGGCGCTTCCTCGGGGCGGTGGCGACCCCCGTGGAAAAGTGACCCCCACCTCGAGGGAGCGGCGGCCACCTCGAGGGTCGAGGAGGAGGGGGAGGGAAGGGAGGAGGAGGAGGAGGAGAAGGAGGAGGAGGTATCCAGGTGCCTACCGCTCCTCCTCTCCTCCTCCTCCTCCTCCTCCCTCCTCTCCTCCTCCTCCTCCTCCTCCTCCTCCTCGTCCTCTTCCTCTCCCCTCCTCCTCCTCCTCCTCCTCCTCCTCCTCCTCCTCCTCCTCCTCCTCCTCCTCCTCCTCCTCCTTGGGGACTCCTGGGGGCCTCTTAGGGCGGAAGGCTAGCCCACCGCATGAGGATGGCAGGCAACTCCGAGGCAACTCTTGGGGCGGAAGGCTAGGATGTAAGGTTCCTATTCCCTCTCTGGGGACCCTTGTAGTGCCGTCGTGGGGCCGTCTTGGAGGCCTCTTTGGACGTCTTGGGGCGCTCATTGGCCGTCTTGGGGCCCTCGTGGAGGCCTCTTGGGCCGTTTTGGGATGGTCCTGGCTGCCTCTTGGGCTGTCTAGCAGAATTGGAAACCGCAAAAGGTGAGAACGCCGAAATCTGTCAAAACCAATGGAAAATGACAGATGATTGCCTTTGGGGCTCTCTTGGGAGGCCTCTTGGGGTGCCTTGGAGGCCCCTTGGGTCATCTTGAGGCCATCTTGGGCGTCTTCGAGCGATCGTATGGCGACTCGGGGCCCTCTTGGACCGTCTGGGGGGCCTCCTGGGCCGTCGCGGAAGCTTTGGAGAGCCCCAGGGAGGCGCCATGGCCGCTAAGGGACCCCCAGTAATACGGGCGGTTCCGTAGCCATTTTGGCTCAAGGCCGTCTCGGTTCCGCCAGCCCCCGAGCGTGCGCCACCACCCAGAGAGCTGTTTGCACGGTTCCAAACAGTCGCATTAAGCGAAGGTCCGGAGCCAGACCCCCTCTCCCCCCCCTTCCGCCCAACGTCGAAACGACGCCGAGTAATAAAAAAAACGCTCACGTGCGCGACAGCCATCGACCTCGGGGGGGGGCCAACGACGCCACGCGCGCGGTGGCCCGGGCGACCGCCGCGCGCACCGAGGGCACCGGCTGCACTTGTTTTACCCATCGAAGAGAAGAAGCCCAGCGGCAGGGACAGGCGGCAGAGGGGGAGGGGGGAGGGAGGGGCGGCGGGGAAGCGGGGGGCACGCATAGCCTGCCCGCAGGCTGCCGGGCGCTGCGCCAAGCGCGCCTGCAGCGCCTCGCGCCAGCCGGCGTCGCGGCGGCCCAGCCCGCACACGGCGACGCCAGCCAGCCCCGGCCACGAGGCCGCAGACGCCCCGCATCGCACGCAGGCCACCCAGCCCTGGGCCCTGCGCAGCAGCGTGCGGCTGCCACGCCCGCCCGGCGAGGGGCGCCGCGGGCCCTGCCGTCGCCGCCGCGCGCGTGGCCCTGGCGGCGCCAGCGCGGCTGCGGCCGCGGGGGGGGGGGCCCTGCGGCGGCGCGCCAGGCTGCGCGCCGAGCACACCCCGCCGGCCGCGGCGCCGGCGCGGTGGCCTGGGGGCCCGCGGGCCACGCCAGAGCTGCTGTGGTTCACCTTCAGGGCGGCCCACTCCACCTCGGCCAGCGTCCGCTGCGCGATGCCCAGAGCGCGCAGGCGGTTCTCCCGCCCTGTGACCAGTGCTGGCGGCACCGGCTAACCCCCCCGCTCTTCTCCCCCTTTCTCAGGCAGCTGCCGTCAGGGTGCTCGGCTCCCGCTCTGGTCTCCCGTCGGGCTGAACGGCGCTCACGTCTCTCCTACTCCGGGCGCCTTTCCGACTCCGGCTTCCTTCTTTCCGACTCCGGCTCCCATCTCTCCGGCTCTGCCGTCCTGCTCTCACCACTTACCAAACCACCCCAACCCAACCCGAAGGCCTCAATTTGCCCTCCATTTCCAGTGGGGGGGGGTCGGGGAACATCGAAAAAACACGTATGGAACCCATACCCCCCCCAACCCGAAATTCGGGTCTTCGGGTTGGGTTGGGGTGGTCTGGTAGGTAGTCATGCTCTGCAGCTCCGGCTCCCATGTCTCCGGCTATAGGGCTTCCGCCGACTCCGGCTCCAGCTCCTGCCGCCAGCACGTCTCCGGAGGGCTCCGGCCCCCCCGCTCTGCCCTCTCGGAGGCCCGGCCCCGCGGGACCGTCGCGCGCTCGCCTCGCCTCGCCTCCCTGAACCCATGGTTCCCTCGAGCATCGACCTCCGACCCTCGAATTCGCATTTACACTTGTATTGATATATATATATATATATATATATATATATATATATATATATATATATATCATATACAGATACACAAACATCACACCAGAGGAAAACCCCAAGCAGTGGATGGTTTTCGCCGACGAGAACGACTGGGAACCCGGGAGCCCGGGAACTCAGAACGCACCGAAACCGGCCCGGAACCAACCACCGCGGGAACCCGGGAACCCAGCCTGCTACCAAGATCAGCGGGATTTTTCGCCAAATCTTTCCACTTCCGCTAGGGCCCCTTCAGTGCAAGCGCTGATTGGGGAGTAATGCGTGGTCACCACTAGGAAACGAGCCACGTCAAAGCACGTCTCCTGAGGGCTCCAGTATATGTATATATATATATATATAGATGGTAAGAATATAACAGTAAGAACAACGATTGCAAGATTAATAACACTCATAATAAGAGTAATAATAATAATACGAATAATCAGACCAATACCAATAATCATAAAAGAGCCACGCCAAAGCAGAGAGAGAGCGAGAGTCAGGGTCGGGCCCCGGCTCCGGCCTCGAGGGGCGGCCCCCCGGCCGGGCGGGCGAGGAAGCAGACGTGCAGCGGGGCGCCCGTGAAGAAGAGGCCGCTCTGGGCGGCGTGAGGCCGCCGCGCGGGCCGCGGCGACCCCCGAGGGGCAGGGCGCGTCCGGTGCGGTCACGGGCGGCAGGCGTCCAGCAGTGCTTGGCATCGCTCGGACGTGTGCATTTTTCCTTCGGCAAGGATCGGGGGCGGAAAAGAGGGGGGTGATGACTAGGAGGGGGTGGATATCATGGCGGGGAGCATGATATTTCCCCAGATTTCATGGCGCCTCTTCTTATTTCATTACGTCCCTGGGCCCCCCACTGGGCCGCGCACATGCCGCCGGTCATGATTTGCACCCCCCCCTCTTTGACACCCCCCTCTTTGCCGCTCCCGAGAGGACCATCGAGGAGTATCCTGGATCGCTTGGCGGAAAAAAAAAAAAAAAAAAAAAAAAAAAAAAAAAAAAAAAAAAAAAAAAAAAAAAAAACGCACGAAAGCAACAAAAAGCACAGGGAATGGACGTCCGAGCGATGGCGAGAGTGGCGAAGCGTCATTTTTGGACGCCCGAGATGGGCACGGAAAGAATGGGCACGATGCCCAACAGCGGATTCTGTCCATTTGAACAGGACTCGCCGTCCGCGCCGCCGCGGCCTGTGTCCATTCGAGACAGAAGGCCGCCTGCCCAACAGCGGCCGCTGTTGGTTTGGGACAACATTTGCTGTTGAGCATTGTACCCATTCCTTCGGTACCCATTTCGGGTGTCCAAAGTCCTGGTTCGCCTACGGTCGGCCTTGATTGGGCACGCGAGAGGACGCAGGACCCTTCCGAGGGGCACGTTGCCACAGGGATGCCATGCAGGAAGCATGGGCCGCGAGGCACAGGACACAACGACACAGACACAGAGGGCCGGACAAAAAGGGGGGGATTGGGAAAGGGGGGGGGTACGCAAGCTGCTGCATGCAGCCCCAGACATGATCGCGTCGTAAAACAAAAATCTGCGTCGGAAATCTGAATGTTTGGCCCCTGGTGGGGGCCCTTACCGGGGGGACCGTCAAAAAACGGTTCAGGATGAAAAACCGGTCCCGGGGAAAGGGTCACAGGGTGTCAGGAGGGGAAAAAACTAGAGGGGGGGATCACAATGGGGGGTGGATATCATGGCGGGGGCCATGATGCTTCCCTAGATTTCATGGCGCCTCTTCTTGTTTCGTTACGTTCCTGGCCCCCCCTCTGGGCCGCGCACATGCCGCCGGTCATGATTTGCACCCCCCCCTCTTGGACACCCCCCTCTTGGCCACTCCCGAAAAACACAGACACAATGAATCGTCGATTCCCAAGAAAATGTAGAAAAATATTGGAATCTTGTTATCTGTGTCTATTTATTTGTGTGTCCCAGGGCCCCCTCAGTCAAGCAGTGTGAAGTCGGGCCTGTCCCTCTACAGGGGGAATATTCAAAAATAGTAAAAACATAGTCTGGGGAAGATTGTTTGACTATTTTGGGGCATCTTTGGAGTATTTCTCGGGTATGTTTAATTTTTCGCCTTCAATCCCCCTGTAGGGGGACAGGCCCGACCTAAAAGCAGTGGCGAAGCGTCCTGGCTCGCCTATGGGCCCGCCAATGAATGTTCGAAGAACCTTTTGTGGTCCAGTGCAGGGGTCGTTTCGACCCCTCCGATTTGAGTCGATTTCGGTATCATCGATGGCCTCCGATTCCGATTCGATTCGACCTGTGATTCCGATTTGGGTTCCGATGTTGTATTGTACTAGCCTGCCGATTTCTGCCAGGTCGACTCTTCCCGACTCGGCTGCCGATTTCCGGTCACAGATATCGAAGAAGAAATACGCCATAAACATAAATGTTTTGCGTTCCGCGCGGAGCGCCAAAAGTTTTGTTTATGGCGTTTCTTCTTCCTCTAAGGTGGGGGGGGGCATCGCCAGCATTGCCGTCGCGAAGAAATCCTCCGCCTCACTCCGCATTTGCCTTCATTGGCCCAAGCTCGGTGGCGAGCCCCCAGGGTGGAAGTGAGAAGGGGCGGGCCTTCTCAGAAGGCTCGGAAGTCCCCTGGCCTGGTAAGAAGTTTTCGAAGCCTTCCCCGGAGACACAGAGAAACTAGTCAGAAGGCCGGAGGGTTTTGTGAGAAGCCCCGCCGCCTTCTGAGAAGGCAATTCTTTTATCACATCCCCCTTCGCTCGCCGCCGACAAGTGGCTGTCCACCGCGGACGGCGCTGGGTGCTGGCAGCATACCGGGTGCTCACGGAATTCCCCAGACCAGGCATTTGGGCAGGGAGGAGCGAGTTGTTCGCGCAAAGGTGAACGGACAGGTTCAGTGTGCCGACCAGTCTTGTCTCTTCTCCCGTCTTCTTCTCGCCCTCCTTCCCAACTCCTTGATGATATGGTGTTTTCACTCCGGGCATTTTTCCTCGTCTTCGGCCTCTGGGGCCCGCCATGATATTATGCTTAAGTCGGGCCCGTCCTTCTACAGGAGGAATATTCAAAAATAGCCAAAAAAAAAACCTGGGGACTTTTATTATTTTATTATTTTACCATTTGAGGGCATTTGTTTGCGTATGTTTTGCTTTTCGTCGCAAATCCCCCTGTAGGGGGACACGCCCGACTTAAATCCAGGGCGAGACGCTCCCCGCGGGAAAAGGGTCGGACCTGGGGACCGCGCATCGGAAAATACATCGTCAGAGGCCTGTTCCTCCTCCTTCCTCCCCCTTCCTCCCCCTCTCAGGCGCCTCTCCTCCTCCTCCTCCTCCTCCTCCTCCTCCTCCTCCTCCTCCTCCTCCTCCTGCTCCTGCTCCTGCTCCTGCTCCTTCTCCTCCTCCTCCTCCTCCTCCTCCTCTCCTCCTCCTCCTCCTCCTCCTCCTCCCCCTCCTCCTCCTCCTCCTCCTCCTCCTCCTCTCTCCTCCTCTTTCCTCTTCTTTCCTCCTCCTCCTTCTCTCCTCCTCCTCGTCCTCCTCCTCCTATTCCTCCTCTCCTCCTCCCCTCGGGGCCGCCCACGTAGGGGTCGCGGCCACCCCTTGGTGGAAGGGGGGGGGGGCAGGCGTGCGAGGCTTCGCCAGGGAGGCCAGGCACAAGGAGGAGGGCAGTGCTCAGGAGGAGGCGGGCGGAGATGGGGGGGTGGGGTCAGGAGGAGGGAGGGAGTACACGGGGGAGGAGGATCGCGTCTACCCTCATGATGTTCCAACCTACTTTAGCCTGGAGCACCAGAAAGAATTTCGAGCACCAGAACAAATACCCAAACTCGAGAGTTTTCACGTGTCGGGCCCCGGGAGACGCTCGCTTCGACACTCTTCCGGGTGCTCGAAATTATTTATGGGATGTGGTCCTTAAGTACGATGGGAACAGCGTAAGTCTACCCCTCCATAAAAGAGTTGGGAAGGTTCAGGGCGGTTCAGATGACTTCAAGGGGTCACCCCCCCTTCCGATGTGAGATGGCATCCTGCGAGCCTGCCTGACTTCATTGGAAGCGATGCCGACAATGTCGAACGGTTGAGCGCACGCGTGCTTACAAGCGCACCATGTGCCGTTCGCTGCACGATTGAGTTTAGTTTGGTAGTTGTGTTGATGCTCTTACTTTTAAGCTCGTGTCCGCGTCCCCTCTGTACCCAGCGGGTCCTCCTGGGCCTCGCCGAATTCGGTGAGAAGGTTGTGACTTTCAGGGCGTAATTTGCCCTGGTGCGCAAGAAGGCAGAGAGGAGAGCAGGAGGAGGAGGGAGGGAGCATAGGGTATCGAGCTGTCCGACGAGGACGGGACGATATCACCTACGACTGCGCTGTTCAGCCTCGCTGCTATCCTTGGCCACAGTCCCGCCTCCAATCGGTCGTGGTTTTCTTTTACGATGGTGGGAGAACGAGCGGGAGGGAGGGAGGAGGACGGTGTGAGGGGGGAGGGAGCGGGGAGCACGAGGGGAAGAGGATCGAGGAGGAGAGAGGAGGAGGGGGTAGGAGGGGGAGACAGGGGGAAGGGAGGAGAGGAGGAGGGAGAGTGAGAGGACGAGGATGAGGAGGGAGAGTGAGAAGACGAGGAGGAGAAGGATGAGGAGGAGGAGGAGAAGGAGGAGGAGGAGGAGGAGAAGGAGCCACGAGTGTCAGGGTCGTGCACGGGTCCATGCTAGATCAATTACGTCTTCAGACTCAGCAACAAGCCAGGCAAGACGAGGGCGTTCATAGCGCTACACGAGATTGGACGGGAGCGCGCCCGCCTGGCAACGTACGAGTAGCTGCGGTTGGGTGAGCCACCTGTCGGCCTGGAGACCCCCAGCTCACAGCTACAACAGCCAAGGCTCCATGGTCGTTCTGGAAGGGGAAAAACAGCGGCGCGGCCAAAAACAGCGTCGCGGCCACCCACAAGATCCAGAAGTATACCGAGCTGCGCGGGCGCCGATCGGGAGCACGCTGAAGCACGAGCGCGCGAGCAGGCGTTGTGGCATTCTGGGGTCTTTTGGAAACAGTTGTTCATGGTTTCGGATGCGCTCGAGGGGAAAAGGTATCTGGGCGGCGTCCTTTGGCCGCCTGGGGGCCCCCTTTGGCCGTCCTTAGAGGTTATTGGGCTATCTTGTGGGGCTTGGGCCATCTAGGGGCGCTCTTGCGGATCCGTCGTGGCGAACCCCCCTCCTCCAGCGCATCTACAGAGGGCCCCTCTGTAAAAGCCGCAAACGGGGGATGCGAATCTAACCCCCCCCCCCGCCGGGGAAGGGACAAAGGGAGGGGGCTCCCCTGTGACGTGACTACGACGCGGGTCGATTTCCCTCAATCCCTGGACTCCTCCCGACGACGGGAGAGTGGTCTCTCACCCCCGACGGGGAAGGATAAACAGACAAGGCGTCCCGTCGACGAGACCAGACAGACCCCACACACACGCCGACAGGGTCGGCGGATTTGGCGACCGCGCGCCAAATCCATAGATCGCTAATCCATGTTTGCGCGCCCCCGAGTATCTGCACTGCTGTGTGGAAACCTGATCACCACCACCGCCCCAGCTCGCGCGCCTTGCCGGGGCATGAGTCCTCGTGTGCCGTTTCAGCCTCTGGGTGGGCAACCACTGGGGGCCAAGAGCACGGACGACGCCTTGTTGATCCGAGCAGTGCGACCACCAGTCGAGGTCGTGCATTCGGGAGTTGGCACAGCGTGGTCGAATCTATGCCCGAGCTGCACCCCAGGGAATCCTCAGGGGCGGGCTCCCCGCGCCGCACAAAGGGCGCCCTTGTACGAACCGGAAGATGGCAAACGCTGGGAGTGGCACAGGCAGCTGCAGCGGACGAGGGGCCTATGACCCACCAGAGCCGCCCTTGCCGCCACGACGTCGCCGCTGCTTCTGCGGGCGTGAGCTCACCACGGCAGGGGCCCACCGCACCCACCACGCCCGAGGCCACCAGTTTGTCAACCTAGTGCAGAGATACGCCCCAGGATGGAGTCCACCCGCATAGCAAGGATGAGCGACTTTCCAAGGTCACCCTTGTATCGTCCCCCTTCGGCCCATCCATTGCCGCTTTTGCTGGCCACGCCCCGCCCGCAAAGTGTCGACATGGCCTTCCAAGGCCCTTGCATCCTTGTCGTGCGTCCTTATCATACGGGTTGCCTGTAGATATTCGGCAATGACTTTGCAGCACGCCCGAACACCATCGTTGACACCGTGGTGCTGGCTGGACGTCGCAGCCACCCAGGTTGTGACCGCCTTCTCGGCGACGACGAGATGGAGGAGCTGCGAGTGAAAGACGCGGCGGCAACAGCTGACCTCAAGATATGCGGCTTTCAAGCCACAAAGGCTCTCGCCCCGGTCAAGCGCGTGTTCGCGCGCCCAAGAGGGGCGGCACTCAGCGACTACCGCGCTGAACCTCCCTCATACCAACCGCCACGTCTACCAAGACCAGCGCCGCGGGCTCCACCGAGCATCGAGGCAGGTGGCTGCAAGGCCATCTTGTGGGCCGTCGAACACTTGGGAGACCACATGCGAACCCTCCCCCCACCTCCCCCTCAGAACTCGTTGGGTGGTGGGGCAGGGCTCGCGTGTGGCCTCCTGACACTGCTACCCCAACGCCAAGGCCCCTGGACATCGTGACGGACTCCACGGTCGGCGACTCATTGACCAGAATTGATGGCAGAGGCCGAGGCCCAAGAGGAGGAGCCACGTGCTCGGCGTGGCCGGATCGCCGGAGGAGGAGGAGGAGGAGGAGGAGGAGGAGGAGGAGGAGGAGGAGGAGGAGGAGGAGGATGAGGAGGAGGAGGGAGGAGGAGGAGAGAGGAGGAGGAGGAGGGAGGAGGGAGGAAAGAGTAAAGCGGAGGAGGAGGAGGAGGAGGAGGAGGAGGAGGAGGGAGGAGGGAGGAGGGAGGAAAGAGTAAAGAGGAGGGAGGAAAGAGTAAAGAGGAGGGAGGAAAGAGTAAAGAGGAGGAGGAAGAGGAGGAGGAGGAGGAGGAGGAGGAGTGAGGAGGAGGAGGAGGGAGGAGCAGCGTCTGCTGCACGGTGGGAGGCCCTGGGCTCAGGCCGCCGCGGCCTTGGCCCAGTGCGCCACTGGGAGCACATCTGGGGCGTCCCCACGGCCAGCGAGGGCGAGCAGGCGCAGCTGCCCCACGGCCAGCGCGCTGCACCGCACAACGCTCCACCTCGCCCAGGTGGCGGCCTGCGCAGGAGTGCCCATGATCATTGAGCAGCCAGCAAGAGCGACGTGGAAGCCGCACGCAGTCAGCTCCAAGGCGCTGACTGCGTGCGCATGGGCGCATTGGCGCGCCACCCCGACGCGCGCATCCCCGCCATGGACCAGTGCGCCCACGGCGCAGACGCAAGCAAACAGAAGCACACGCACCCTGCTAGCGACACACCTGCCTGAGCTGGATCGGCTCGTGCAGAGGGCCCCGCGCGGCGAGCGCTGTGCGCACCACGGGGGGGGGGGGCACACTGTGGCCCTCTTCCGCGTCGAGGGCACACTGTGGCCCTGGACACCGACCCCGATGCCGAGATGGGGGCCGACTGCTCGACGAGACGGGCACGAGATGGGCGCCAGACGACAGGGCGCGCGCTGGACGGGACCCAACCGGCGGCACTGGGAGGCCCGCGACGTCCTCCTCTTTGGTTCCGGGAGCTCTCCGCCTGCAGCGATCTCTACCACGACAATGCCACGAGGTGCTGGCAGCTGACGAGGAGGAGGAGGAGGAGGAGGAGGAGGAGCAGGAGGAGGGGAGGAGGCAGAGGAGGAGGCAGAGGAGGAGGAGGAGGAGGAGGAGGAGGAGGAGGAGGAGGAGGAGGAGGATTATCCTTCACTTACTTGATCTTGGAAGGCCGAGTGCGGAGGACCGCCGGCCCCCTCTGCCCTGGGAGCTCTATCGCGACAGTGCCGCGAGGTCTGAGGTGGCGGCCTTGCGACTATGCCGCTCTATCGCGACAGTGCCCCGAGGTCTGAGGCACTGCCGCTCTATCGCGACAGTGCCGCGGGCGGCCCGGCCCCGCGGGCTGTCCTTGCAAGTTGTCATCTCGGAACCATTTGGTGGCAGCCGCGCCGCGTCGGCAGGTGGTCGCCTCGACGACGACGACGGGTCTCGTCAGGGACCCCCGCGCATGCGGTGCTGCGGCTGCGTCAGGGGCTGCGCAGGCGACAGGCCGCTACTGAGTCGCGGCCCTCCTGAGCTTGTTCGGACTCGCCACAGCGGTCGACGTCCGCTGTGATCCCATCACCGAGATTGAGTACGTCATGCCGGTGCGGATGGTGGTTCTCGAGCAGGCCTGTGAGTGGCGAATGCGGACATCGGTACCGAGCTGGATGGTCACGCATTTGAGAGGCGGTTTGCCGGCGAGGAGTGCTGACAGTGGTGCATCACCTCGCGCAAGGCGGTCAAGCAGAGGGCGGCCCCTAATGTGGAGCGAGGCGGCCATGCGGGAGGCGATTCGCCGATGGCGATTGCTAACTGCGGCGCGCTACTTCGCGAAAGGCGGCCAAGCGGAGGGCCACGACTGATGCGGCGCAGAGTGGGGCGGCCGCACAGGGGGCAAGTTTCTGATGAATGAAGCGTTGTTCCGGCCAGAATTGCAGAATGCTTGTCAGATGAGTCGTGCGAAGATTGGTCGGAGGTTGTGCTCTGGTGAAGAAAATGTCAGGGTATACTTGTCATGGCAGATATTTCTGTACAGGGTGCGCGAGGTCGATCGAGTGAATGCTGCGAAGGGCGGACTGGTGGTATCATGTGAGCTTTGTGCCCTTCGGCCGCCACAGCCCACCGCGCCTTCCAACGGGCCATGCGCCGCCCCTGACCCCTTGTCGCCCAGTCCCACGGCGTGGCCTCTCCACGAGCAGCAGCCTCTGGCGCGGGCGACGCCCACCGATTCCTTCCTGCGCCGGAGCGGGCCCCCGAAGCACTGCGGCAAGCCGACCTCAGCGTGGGCCCGCCCAGGCGCGGCCTCCGCGTCGACCCGAGCCTCGGCGACGGGGCGCGGGCCGCCGCGCTCCTCGACGGGGACCTCCGAGGGCGCGGCCACGACCGGGGCCGCGCGGAGGGAGGGGTACCCCGCGCCCCCCCGCGTGCCCGCGCCGCCGGAGGGAGGTGGGGAACGCGACGCCGGCGCCCCCAGGGCGTCGGGATTGGCCCCCCCCCCGCCCGGCGGTCCTATTCCTCCGCTGCTCCCAAGAGAGGTCGCACGGGGCCAGGGCGGGGATACGTCCGTTCCAGAGCGTTCCGGAACGCTCTCAGAGCGTTCGGGCACGCGCAGCAGCAGAA